AGAGTTTAAGGCATAGAAGTGCCTGAAAATAGCTTGCTAACAGCCCCATGGAACCTGTGCTTTTGGCAAAAGGAGGAGGCAATTTATGGGTCTGGGCTCAGTGCTCATAAATAAGTGCATGTTCCTTTTCCTCTGTGCTGGCAGGGGTTTGGCTGCTCATATTCTATATAATTTCTCATACACACCATAAATTCTCATACAACTCCTCAGGCAGTTGATGGGAATGCACAGGCTTTTTGGGGATGTGAATTTATCCTGTTTGAACTGGCACGAGTTCTCTGTGTGTACCTTGTGAGGAAATTCTTCCTGCACTGAGTACTCCAAATCCACTTCTGCTTCACCAGCCTGAACCTGACAAGCTGCTTGTTTTACTGAATTTGCTTGAAATATTGTTTTCCATAAAGGGAACAGCAGCAAACAAAAATTTTAGATTCTTGCCTTCATATTTTTTGCTATCTGGTAGCAGCAAAAGTGATTTTTGAAGTAGATAAACAGTAATGGAGTAATTGAAGTAGATAAATAGTCTGGAGAGGAGAAAAAAATAGGAAAAATAGCATTTCCCAGGGTTTCACTCGAGACAATGGATGAGCATTGTTCTGCTGGTGTTTGTTTATAAAGAAAACAGCAAAATGAGCTGGATTTCATCTGGGACTTGATGTTTTACTGTAAGAAAGCTGAAAGAGCAGAGTAAGGACCTGGGTGCCAAATAAAATTGCTCAAAGGTTTTTTTAAGAATTTCAAAATTTTACAGTAGAAATGTAAGTTTAATTCCTTTATTCAGTTTGCACCTTGCTCCAACTAAACCCCACTAAGATCAGAAGTATTGGGAAGAATTTTTACCTTATCGTCTGCCTAAAATGTTTGTTGAAAGGGGGAAGACAAAACTGTATGAATAATTTGGAGAAAAAAAAACAACCACCAGACTTACAGCTCACATATCCCAAAGCATACATTCCCCCCCAATAATTTATTTGTTCACCTTAGCAAGATTTCATATACATTCAGTATTTTGTTCAGGAAATTACCAGCATGAACTGTTGAAACATGATAAAGCTGGAAAACAGCATGTAGAAAATTCAATGACACGGGAATACCACATTCAGAAAATGCAGTACCTGCTTCAGGAAAAATCTTTTAAAACCAGCCAAACTTATACAACATGCAGGCAAAAAGCTGCTGTAAGAAGAAGAAAAACAAACAAACAAACAAACAAACAAAAAAAAGCCCCCCCCAAAAGCCCAAATCAGCTTGTATAGAATTCCCACAGTTGTACTGTCAGGAAGAATTGAGTATTCAGTGAAATTCAGGGAGGTTTTCTATCACTGGCTGAGTGGACTTACTTTGAAAGTGGAAATACGCTGAAATATTGGGCAGGTTTGTGTTTTCCCACTTCAGAAAATGGTTTACTAGGGGTGAATTTTGGCAGCTGATAAGAAATCTGGATTAATGCAAGAAAGTCTCATTCTTTGGACGAGACGTTGAGCACTGTAAAATTATGTTTATTTTCACTATTAACATGTGGAGGATTTTGACTCTGAAAAAGACCTTGATGTTACCATGAGGATAAAGGAGAGGCCGTGACTCATCCTGGGTTTGAGCCCGGTGTTGCACTGAGAGGGAAATGTTCATTAAGTGGAGCTTTGAGCCCTTGTGGGACTGACAGATAAGTTCTTTCTCATGTGATGGTTGCCATCCATAGCTCTCCTCCTCAGCAATTAATTTCCCCTTAGCACACATTTGCTATTTGCTCCTTCTCTGTCAGCATGAGAAATATGCAGTGTGCTCTGCAGAGAAGGAATGACATTTCACTCCAATCCCCAGGACAAGTGCTCCATCTCCTCCCAGGAAATCAGAGATTCGATTACATCTGCCAAGCTGGGGGGAAGGTCTCTATTTTAATGCACCACAGGCTACCTCTGTAGTGCCTTGTGTTTTTTGTAGCACTGTCATATGTGAAATACCTTCATAAATATTTGAGTGTGTGAGAGGTGCAGGCAGAGAGCAGATGCTGCTGTCTCACGACCTGTTGGATTTTTTTCCTTCTGGGAAAGGATAACACTGGTGCAGGTCCCAAATTTGCCTGGAGCTAAGTGCAACACTTTGAAGACCAACTGGCTTTCCTCTTTGGCTCTGCTGTCAGAAGAGACCATCCAGGAAAAATTGGTGTCAACACCCTGTCCCCTCGAGTTAGTTTTCAACATTGTCCTCCTTATCCAAACCATATCAAGACAGGAAAGAAGATCAAGGTATCTCTGGGTAGGATGTGGAGATAATTACCCAGCATGGATTGAGCCTGGGACAGCTGAAACCTGGAGAGGATGGTGGGATGTCAGAGCCATCACTCTGAGGTTTCATCAGAACACATCCCCTGCTGGGTCAGTGTAGGTCAGTGGATGTGGCTTTGAGCAGAACTCCTGGCACTCCACTGCTCTCCCTTCCCATCTGGGCCCTCTCTGATCTCTGCTCTGTGCTCCTGCCAGGTTCACACGACAGAATCCTGATGCTGGGAAGGTTTTAGAAGTGATGATTGATGACCAGCTTCTGGGAAAACCTCTTGTCCTCTTGTCCTGTTCATGCTTTTAGACAGATACGTTCAGCCTCTGTGACTGCAGCTCTTTCACCAGTGCCAAGTTCACTTTAAATAACAGTAAAAATTGGGCTGATGAAATCTGCACTCTTTTTTACTGTGTTTTCTAGAGCTCCTTCTCAGTCCAAATACCCACCAAAATGACAAGTGCCAATGACCCTTCTTGCAACAAGGGAACAGGGCAGTTTTCCTGCAGAAATTCTCTGAGGGAGCCAAAGAAATGATGGCTTTGCTGTTACTGACAAACCTGGCAGCAGCAGAGGTGTGGCTGGGATCAGGCTCACCTGATGCTGAGGACCAGGAGCTTTTCAGAGTCACTGGACACAGAGAGGTTCTTTAGAATCTGTTTGGTGACAAAAAAAAGGATGAAGATGAGACCAAGACTTCATTATTCCAACCTCTGTCTCTGCCATGCAGGAGAACGGTGTGACAACCACATCCATCATGATATTTATCTTCATCTTACAGGGTCAGGTTATATTGCTGCATCAGAATTGCTCTGGAGTCAAATTAATCCAGCTGTGGAAGCCTCCATGTGTAGCTCCACAACAACTCCTTGCCTGACACCGTGAAACCTCAATAAATCTGAAATTACTCTAGCAGCCCTGTGTAAATCTCCCAGCTTCAAAGAAGAGATGGCAAAAAGGTTCTTACTGTCATAAAACAAATATTGGTTGTAGAATAAGACAGGGTTGGGCACCAAGACTGTGCAGTGAATACTTTAAATCTTGCCAGTCTTGCTCAATTTAAGGAGTGTTTTTTCAAAATGTTTCAAAATTCAGGTTTTGTCCACGTACACGTGCCACATATCTGAACCCTTTTATACTGGAAAACTCAGCCATGAGTCTCACGTGACTTTCTTATGAGATTTCCAGCTTTTCTCCTTCTGCTCTTGGCTTGAAGCACCATAAGAATATTTTCTTACATGGTATTTCCCCAATTTTAGCTTCAAATTCTCGGGCTGAAGAACCCTAAGTGTGATGAGGATTTCTTATTTCAGCTAAAACTGGGATCATGTGACAGATTTGTGTTCTGGGAGTGCATAAATAAAAGACACAGGAGACAAATTCTCTTGACATTGGGGACTTAATACTGAGTGAGAGATAAACAATTTTTTAAAATTAGATTTCTCATCAACACCACCAAGGTGTTGTTTCAAGATAAGATATGATAATGACTCTTGAGCCGTTTCCCTTTTCAGGGTAGTGGATCTTCAGCACAGGAGTTGCCACAGAAAAGAGTAGGGGTTCATGTGTTGTTTCAAGGAGCTGAATTCTTGGCAGGCTCGGGAGGAGCTATGTCAAGAGCTGCTTATTTCTAATATTGCACAGAGAATTCCTCCCACTATTTCTTCCAGATGCTGGGCATCTCATTTATTTATTTATTTGGATTAGCTGTATTAAAATATAACATGCTTCCAAATTCTTTTCTCCCAAATTCCCAAGGGATGGCTCTTTCTCGTGGGGATGGATGTCCTTAAGCCTTTTAAAATTTAACTCCCTCTGATTAGAACAAGGGGAAAATTCCTGACTCCAGAGTAGCCAGGATCTCACAGAAAGCTTTGAGCACTTGGTTTCTTCCCAACTTGAAGGAGTCAGGAAAATGATTGTAGCAAAACACCGGGCAGGGAGACAGGAAAGATCTGTGGCTTTTCCAGTGACTGTGGCACTGTGGCTATTGAGCAAAGAATTGCTGAGCCTTTCGGCAGGGTCCTGATGGACTCAGAAGATGAAAAACAAAAGGATGAACACAAGAGAGTTCTTTGAGCCTTGTTTGATAAGAACTTACCTAGTTTTGAGTTTTATTAGACCTGCATCAAGGCGCACGGATGGTCTGAATAAACCAGGGACACATGCAAATTTTCATTTGGTATGGTGTGGAGATTAGGGAGGCTGATTGTACAGAAAAGAAAAGTTCTCCTTGGTCTCTGAAGCTCGGTGGAGTTCAGTCATTTGGATCAAGTTTTCCTTGGCAATGGAGTTGACTGAAATGCACAGGTGAGGAGGTTTGGCTTTATGGGGAGGGGTGGAATCACAAAATGGCTCTGAAGGTGGAGGTGCCGGAGAGTGTCGAGGCTGAAATCAGCACAGGGTCTTTGTGGTTCTCACTTCCTCTTCCACTGCCCCGAAATGACAGCAGTGGGAATTTAAATGAGGAGAATAGAGGGATAAAGCCCTTAAATGCCAAGGAAACACCTGGCAGATGCTGGACCCTCAGAATACCATCCTCTGAAGCCATGCACTCTCTTTGAGGGGCTCCATTCATGTTCCCAGCACTCAGACATCCTTCCTCTAAAGATCTGACCCTGTTTCCCCTGTTCCTACCTGGATCCTTTCAACTAGCACACCTATTCCTACCTCCCCATAAAAAGAGCAACATCCCATTAAACCCCCAAGCTGGTGCACCCAGCTGCTTAGACATCCTCCCCGCTCTCGCCCAGGGTGATGGAATGGATTTTGGTGGTTGGCACTTTGCAGCTCTCATGGATGAGACTCCCTGAAGTGCCTGCACAGCAGCATTCCTGCAGGAACCCTTTGCTCTTGGCTTTGGCAGCTGTGCAGTCTTTGGAAACGGCGTTTTTGGCGGGCACGCCCCGCACGGTGGAGAAGATCTTCCACTCGCAGACCCCGTCGGATTTGGAAATCTTGTAGAAGGTTTCTCCCGATCCCACGGGGATCCGCACCACGCCTCTGCCACTCTCGGTGCTCTCGGCAGCAGGATGGTTGAGGTTGAAGCTGGGGGTTTGCTTCACTGCTGGCTGCTTCCTCAGGAGGCACTGAGCTCTCAGGACGTTATGGAACGCTTTCTTGAACTCCTGACTTGAGCATGGATAGATGATGGGGTTGATGCAGCTGTTTAAATATCCCAGCCAAAATGTTATTTTAAAAAGTGTGTCCGGGGGTTTGATTGCAGGAAAGAAAGAGCCTAAAATGGAAAACACGCAGAGTGTTAGGGCAAAGGCAGTGAGGAATTGCAGGTAACCAAAGAAACTAAAACACTGGAAAAAATAAATAGGATTCTGTTCCGTCTTGAAAAAATTATGATTGGAAACACAATTCCTGCAGGAACAAGTGTTTCACGATTTGTGATGTCATACAATTACATGGATGTTCCATCAGACATCAAGTCAAGAGAGCTATTTAATAATTACAAGCATTATATTCCCATTTACAGCCAGAGGGCTGATTCTAGGGATAGAGGAAAATTCCTTCCTCAGGGGCTCCTAATTCAAGATTAATTACCCAAATGACAGCAATATCTTGGAGGCCATACAAGGGGCTTCAGATGGCAAGAAAATCACACCATTTCAGAAGGGTTAGAGAAAAAAGGGATTAGAGTTGACTGTGTTACAGCTAAAAGTCTTTGAAATGATGAAGTATTGGGTACTTATATTCCATGAAAACTTCAGAAAATTGAACTATCCACACCCTGCCTCATGGAATGCATCTAAAATTGAGGGGAGTTAAAGGGAAGTTTCCTTCTCATATCAAGGAACACTGGGGAGGGTCTCATAGGCAGACATGAGATGTGTGCATATATTTTTAAAATTTTTTTATTTATTTATATACACATATTCTGATATATACTTGCAAAGTTATCTTCCAAAGATGACTCAAAGAGCAAGAACTTTGATGGCTCCTTAGAATGGAAAGGACTTTGGCATTTCTTTTTCTATAGAATGATGAGTTATCTGCTGATCTAAAATCTTGCAAATGTTCTTCCTGATGCCAAATCTTTAGTTTTATAAAAAAAAAAATCCCAGAAACAAAATTGACTTGTTTTGGAATTTATATTCAAATTTATCATAAACAGGACTTTTAGCACAGACAAATGCTTGTCTTCATGCTTCCCCTGGAAAAATTGTAAGCACATGGAAATAAATACTGTGAAAGTTTTGGCATCAATGCATCCATCATCCTCTCCAGTTTAACCATGTCTGGGAGCAGCTCCTGAGCTTTACAGGGATTGATCTGTTCCCTGGACCTCTCCTGGCCAAGGAAAAGCTGATAATGCCCTCGGAGGATGTGCTGATTGAAATCTGGGAGCTGCTCAACTGCTCGAACCCTTTTCCTCAGTCTTTGTCAAATGAAGCTGCAGCACTTGCAGCAAATGCTTTCAAGTGGCCACAGGAATTCGTACGGTGGTTTTACCTGCCTGGGAATGCATCAAAATCCTGCCTGGGCCAGAGCCACTCCTGGTGCAGGGTGATTAACAACCTGCTCATCCTGCTGAGCACAGGATCTGCAGGGAAATGTGGAGCGATGTCAGAATCTGAGCTATTGATGATTCTGAGATTGTAGAAAGTTTCTGTCTTTCTGCCCCGCTGCCAAAGCAGAAGCCATAATTGGTCTGTGCTGGTTTCCAGGTTGTTTATTCTGTTGATCTCTCACATGTTCTGCTGCCCTGCCCAGCTCTGTCCTGCAGGGCAGCGTGTGGGGCTCTGCCCTCAGTGGGATGTGACAAACATTCAATACCAGAAACTCCCTGGGCTGCATTTACAAGAACGTGCCAATATCTGTCACCTACGTTGGACAGTGTGTCCCCAGCCTGAACCAACAGAAAAATGCCAACACCACAGTGAGACATGGAGGGCATGAAGAAGGAGAAAAAGGACAAGGCACACCCAATTTCCTCCATCTTGTTCCCTTTGGACCCCTCATCTAGAATCCTAAAATTTTACTTTTGCACTCGTGCCACACTTAATTATTACTGATATCAAACACTCAGAGCTGGTAATTTATCTTGTGAGATTGAAAACTCTTTTCCATGGACAGAGATCACAGCCAGTGTCTCTGGGAGGTTTAGACAGGTGGGGTCGGTCTCTTCCACCTGGCAGCACTGACAGAACAAGAGGACACAGCCTCAAGCTGTGTCAGGGAAGGTTTAGGTTGATATTAGGAACAAATTTTTAACTGAAAGAATAATAAAATACTGGAATTGTCTTCCCAGGGAGGTGGTGGAATCACCTTCTCTGGATATGTTTAAAAAAAGACTGGACTTGGCACTTGGTGCTATGGTCTGGTTGTGGTGTTGGGTTTGATAATCTTAGAGGTCTCTTCCAAACTCATTATTCTGGGATTCTGTGTGATTTTCTTCTGTGGTTGCTCGAAGCTGGCCCAGGTAGAGCAGTTCCATTATTACTTTCAATATCAACCGGATTTTAAGAACAAAAAGGTTCTGCTGAAGAAAACAAATGCTGTTTTGCAGCAAAGCACAAGCAAACACATGTATCTACAACCTAAATTTTTTCTCAGCAAATTAATGCTTCTCTCCTTTAGTGCAAAACATTTAAATAACATTCTGAAAGAACTTTCTGGCTGAAGTCATTGGCAGATGAAAAATAACAGAAGGCTTCTAAATGCTCAAATCATGCTCAATTTTTTGGTTTATTTCCTCATTTAAACACAGTGAATCTACTGCTTTCTCATTTTGTGGTGAGGGAAAAGGTGAACCAAATCCCTGTTTAGGGAATCAGCTGTGTGAGGCCAAGTGTAAAAATGGGTAAACAATAACAATTCCTGTTTGCTGCAACTCCTTGCTCTCTCCAGATGGAATGCAAGGGTTGTGCCAAAGTCTGATAAAAATAGAAAACAGCCAATGTCAGAGTCTGTCCCTTGCTCTTTTTTTGGGGTGGGATCTGCATGTTAATTTATTAATGTAGCCTTTTTTGGTTCATCTGTGGAGACACTCGTTGCCTTGGAATGACACACAGTGAAAGAAAATTAAGGAGCTTTAACAGCACAGGGACTTTGCTATCTACAGGTCCCACTACACACTGGCTTTCAGATAACCATGGAATGGTTTGCACTGGAGAGAAAATGAAAGATCATCTAATTCCAGCCCTCTGCCATGGACAGGGACATCTTCCACTATTCCCGGGTGCTCCAGCCTGGCCATGGACACTTCTAGGGATGGAGCATCCACAGCTTCTGTGGGAATTCCATCCCAGTCCCTCACCACCTTCACAGGGAGGTATTTCTTCCCAATATCTCATCCAAGTGTACCCTCCTTCACCTCAAAGTCATTCCCCCCTGTGGTATCAGTGCATACCCTGGTAAAAACTCCCCCTCCAGCCTCCCTGTAGGGTGTTTGACACTCAGGGGCCACCGAAATATCTGTTACCTCTGTAGCTCAGAAATAGTCCCTAATCTTTCCTGTTGGCTACCCGAGTATCTAGGAAAAGGGGAAAAATATCTTATTTTCCAAATCATTGAGGAATGGTGTTCCTCCCCACAGAATCCTAAGAACGTGTCCCTTTCTTCCAAACTTTTAATATTCAGTGATGTTGTTGTGATCAATCTCAGTGGCTGATGGATCTGGTAATGAGCAGGAGGCATCTTCAAACCTGGTGACAAAGTAGTTTGTTCAGTGCTGAGTCCTCAGAATGGACAGGTCAGGTCAGATGAACTCAAAGGAGAAATAAAACAAAGATTTTGTGGTTTTTTTTTTAACAATGACCATAATTAATAATGAAATTTAACAAGAGTGATGAATTATCTCTTTTTAAGGCATATGGTACATGTTCCCTACAGAGCAGTGAGCACAGGGAAAGCAGGTGGAGCTGGGATGAGCATTTCCATTAAATCCTAGACCCTTTGGTGACTGCCAGTTTATGTCAGTTAAAGTTTGGACACTTGGACACCATAAGCTATGGCTGAGAGAAAAAAATTACTGCCCCTAATTCTCAGAGCAAATTTTTCCAGTCCTCTCACTCCAGACCAAGTGGAATCACAGGTGTCCTACAGGAGAGCTAGAGGGTGAACAGCAGCTAAAATACTAAATTTTCACCTTTGAAATTAATTCTCTGTGCTATTCACTGGCCTTAATATCTTCCTTTGCACACTTTGTCAGGAATTAATTCATAAGTGGTAGCAAACCTGATTAAAGTTTACAGGCTTCACCTTACACTGTGAAGCTTCAAGGGGTCTTTTCATGCATTTTGAATAATGGATTGGGTAAATGATGCTACAATTCTTGCTTTGTTTTCAAAAGGTTGAGGACAATCAAGTGTCAGTAGCACAATACAATTGCTTCTTGTAAAAGTAAATAAAATAAAATGTACTATGAGCCTCCCGAGATCTTTTGCCATTAAGTGCTTCATCACTCATCCCTTGAAATGTCAGAAGTGCATTTTCTTCCCTCATCTTTTATTTCTCTGTTTGTCAGCTGGAAGTTTCTTCAGCTCTGAGAGATAAGTTTGCCACATCCCTCCTGGTGAGTAAGTGCCAACTCACTCTCAAAGATGTAATTTGACTTTGTCATTTGTCACAAGAGCTGCCTGATTAGGGGTTGTTTAAAAAGCAGCCCAGATGTCACGCGTCATTTCACTGACGGACAGCAGAGAGGGTTTTGGAACCCGCCAGACTGTAAAAAAGTGTGTTATTTACTCTACATCATCGCTGTCAGCACCATGGGAATCAGATCCTGTATATTTGTGTGACCCATAAACCCTTTGTGGTGTTAAAAACCATCTCGGCTATAAACCCATCTCTGCTACAAATCCATCTCGGCTATAAATCCATCTCTACTACAAAATCCATCTCTGCTACAAAATCCATCTCTGCTACTGAATCTTGCATCTCTGTTGAGGTTTGCTGCTTTATTTCCCTTCTTTTTATTTTGTGCAGCTTAAATCTGGGCACTGAGGCAGAGCACAGACGTCAGGTGGGGGTGATGCTGCTTCAGTGCATGGGGGAGGTCAGGGTTGTGTCCAGAGAATCCCAGATTGGTTTGGGTTGGAAAGGACCTTAAATCCCATCCAGGGCCACCCCCTGCCATGGCCAGGGACACCTTCCACTATCCCAGGGTGCTCCAAGCCCCGTCCAGCCCGGCTTTGGGCACTGCCAGGGATGGGGCAGCCACAGCTGGGAATTCCCTCCCAGGGAACAATTCCAATATCCCATCTAACCCTACCTGCTGGCATAGGGAAGCCATTTCCACTTGTTTTGTAATTCCCTTGTCCCAAGTCCCTCTCCAGCTCTTGAAGCCCTTTCAGGCTGGGAAAAAGAAGAGTGCTCTGGTTACAGAGAAGCAAAGTTCAAAACTCAGGTGCTGGGATCTGCCTTGAATCAATCAGTCCAGAGGGCAGCAGCTCTTCCAGAGCCATAGAGACCAAGAGGATGAAGCACAGAGGAGCACTGATATTCCAAAGGGAATTAACTGTGTACCATGGCCTCCCTAATCCCTCATGGCTCTACAAACATTGATAAATATGCTACATTTATGTTCCCAAGCCGAGTGTTAGCATAAAATTTATTCCCTAAGACAAGAGTTCTATCCTGCATCTCAGGTCATGATTCAATCCACCCTCTGGAAAGTGTATTTATAAAAATAAGCATATATAAGTATATATATCTAAATAAATAAATAAATAAACATAAATAAATAAATAAATAAATAAATAATTATATATATATATATATATATATATATATGCTGCTGCAGACATTCAAAGCTGCCCCCCTGTACACACACGACATCTCCAATATGCTCTCATTGCTCCCTTATGGGAACTATTTTTTATGGAATAAAAAAATGGTATGAAGGAACCGTTAGACAGTAGAAATTATCCTGGACTCAGCACAATCCAATTAACACAACCCGTGCAGAAAAAGCAGTGATGTGAGGAAGTCTTTCACTTTCCAGTTGTGCCTCCCCAGGGCCTGGAATATTGTGGCTATTCCACAGGGAAAATGAGAAGGATTTTGTGCTTGGCTATCCCTGATGCACAATAAACAGACACAGAAGAAGGAACAAGTTTGTTTTCCCTCCCAAATCCTGAATTCAGTTCTCTGCAGCACCATGAGGGTGTCTGGGCACAGGTGAGAGGTGAAAAGATCAGGCAGCAGGACTGGGTCAGTCTGGGAACACTGCGCTGATGATTTGGATTATTTCAGACCTAATTTATGCTCTGTTTCATATTGTACCCACTTAGAATGGATGATATTTCTGGGAAATGTCTCAGCAAGCAACTATTTCCAGATTTGCTGTGGGCAGCTGCAGATTTAGAAAGCTGATAAAAAACCATGGGAAGGTAAACTGAGGTTTTGTTACCCGTGTGAACCCAAACAATCACATTGTTTCACAAATCAATGTAATTGTCACTCCAATTCCAGTTCTCAAGCTCTTCCTGCAGTGGAATGGGTCTGGATCCCACTGCTGATATGTTGGGAGATATTTGATATTTGCCCTGAAGTCCTCGCTCTTGAAGTCATTCACTTATAATAAAATAATAATTTTCCTTTAAGAATAAAAAAACCCAAACTAACCAGAGAGTAGTTTGAGAAGCTGGGTCGGTCTCAGGCTGTCTCATGAGTTTGTTGTCTGTCATGATTTTGGAATCCTTGGAGTTTGAAACAAGAAATTATCTCCTTCAGCAAGAGCCAAGTATCTCTCCCATTATCCAAACTGCAGACAAATCCTGACATTTGCTCAGTGGGGTGGGAGAATCTCTCACCACAGCCTTTCCATCACTCCCCAACGCTGAATTGTGCTGTGGCATTTGAGAGTGAGGGAAAAATGCAACTCCTGCTTCCTTTTCTGTGGGGATTGAAGGTGGTGGCTGCATGACGAGGGATTCTGAGACAAGGATGAGCCACGGGAGCGGCTCTCAAAGCAGAGCGCAGCTGACCGACCTTCCCTCCCTGGCTTTTAGTAGAAATGGTTTTTAACATTGATTCCTCTGCTCCTTTGCTGTGTTCTTCAGTCACTGGGACACATTTCAGGGTTTGGGAATTGTCGGAACTCACAATGTCCCTCAGACATTTTTGGATGCCCCAGGCCCGGGTCAGAAGCATTTGAGACCCTGGCAGGCAGCTGCAAACAGCTGTGAGTTTGGGTTTGAACCATGGAATGATTTACCAGCCTTGCAGGAAGAACAAGAAGTCACAAAAGTTTAGATATTAGAGTAGAAGTAGTCACAAAATAAAGGGAAGAATTTCTGAATGCTGTACAGGGGGGTTTTGGTTTTGTACATGGGGGTCAGAGGGTTTAAGATGGATTTGGGATTTGGGCCTGCCCTGTCCTCCCTCTTTCTCCTTCCTCACCTCCATGTTCTTGGTGATGTTGGCACTCACGGATTGGTTTAGAGTAGAAAAGCACCATTTAATATAGGTAATAGGCATTGGGGAAAAACTGTAAACTCAAGGAGTGCAAGAATCCTTCCTCTCCCTGAGCTGGAAGCCAGTGAAAGAGCTGGGGCTTTATTCTGAGGGTTTTTTCCCATTTTTATATCTTTTTTTCTCCCTTTCTCACTGAGAGAATGCTGAAATATTAATGTGGGGAGTCTGTGTTGGTGTGTGTTGCTACTCTGAGTCTTTTGACTCTCTGAGAGGTCATGTTGTGTCAATAGCAGAGACGGAAAAATGCGCTTTATTTTTTTATGTCTAATGAAAGTAGAGTGGTTCTCTTTGACTCCATTAAAAAAAAATTACCACAAAACAGTAAATAGAAACCATCTGCAGACAGGATTAGAGGTTTCCCTTGACAGTGTTTGTGTCAGTTCACAAAACTAATTTACTCCTCGACCACAAATAAAAACACCCTCCAGCAGATCGTCTTTCTTAATTGCGAGAATGATTGAAAAATGCTAAAGCACTTCCTCCAGAACTGTGAAACTCCTCCAGAATCGATGGGACCATGTTTTGGTCTGTCTCATGGCCACAGAGCTGCAGAGCTGGTCAAGTTCTGGCTGCCCAGCTGCTATGAGCCTCCACCAGGGTTCAACAAGGAGGATTTTGTACATCTGGAAAGTCAGGACCCCAAAACCCGTCAGGATCACTTCCCTTCACTATCCCAATTAGGCTGCAGGACAGACCTGAAAGTGATTGTTATCTTTTGGAACGTGCTCTGCATCAAGATGAGTCCTTGGCTTTTTCTGAGGACTTTTTAGTGCCATTCATCTCTTTAATAATTTTTTTTGTCCTTAAACAAAAACAGAAAGTAGTTTTTGAAAGCCCTATAATATATGCTTTAAAAATGACCTAGTAAACCCCCAAAACATAGAAAAATTATCTCCAAAGTTTCCTTACAAGGGATCAAAAGAGGATACAAAGCCATTCTGGAGCCCAGAAGATTTCTTAAATCCAAAACAAATTAATTAACAGCTCTGTATGGGCAACCAAATTTGCAGATGAGAAGTGTGTTTAATGCATTCTCTCAAACCCTTTTTGAGTATGTTCCAGTCATCTTGGCAAGCAGCATTCCAGCATGCTGACATCGTGTCCAGCACAAGCCAGGCTCTCAGGGGCTTCTCTTTTGGAAACAGTTCCAATCCATCCTTCCCACTATTGACCAAGAGGAAAAAAAATCTGATTTTTTGGGTTTTTTTCACATTAGCAACGGGTTTTGGTGTGTCTTGATAAGTCTTGGTAAAACCAGTAGAGGTTAATTGAAAAAGAATAACTATTTATAAGTTTGGAAAATCAGAATTAAAAAAAAAAAAAGGAAAATACCCCCCTCCCCCCGCAATCTTTATTTCCATGTAAGGATGTTTTGTCTTTTCTGATGTCTTTTCTGAATTGTCCATATTGTCTTACTAACGAAAGCTTCCATAAAATCTTACTTTATTTTTCCTGTACAGCATAAGCCCTTTCCATAAGAAAAGCCCTGAAATTGAACAAGTCACAGATTGTAGTTTCCATGTTTGAAAAACCCAGTATTTAATGGCAGAGCCCAACTCAGTGTGATGAGCCACGTCCCTCACCCTCAGCTATAGGTATGAAATCAGTATTCTGCCTTTCCATCCTGCAACTGCATCAAACGTAACTGAGCAAGGTTTAATTAAAATTCTAATTACTTCTTCATATTCCAGCAAAGCAGAACAAATTCCTAGCTTTGCTCCTGTTTGGAATGACAACAGGAGAATAAATATTCATACCCAGCACGGTGGCTGAGCCAGTGTTTGGCCAGTGGGCTCAATGGGTTCCCAGAAAAGATGCAATCCAGAGCAGAATAAAATCAGTTAGAAGGACCCTCACTGCTGTCTCCTGACTGGTCATATCAAAACGGGATTAAAATATTAAATTCTTTTGGAGTTATGGTATTGCACAGGATGAATTTCCTGATAGGAAGCAGATATTTTTTTTTTCCTTAGAGTGGGAATCATCAATGCTGAGCACTCCAGGAGATCTGTGAACAGCTACTTCAACCCTGAATGTATTTATATCCTGACCTTTTACACGTTTAAGTTGCCTGGCTGCAAGCATCAACACACAAACCCCCAAAGATCCTGTTCCTATAGCAGAGATGGTCACAAATATCTGCTCTAGTTCACAAAAGAGGATTTTCTATGTGGAAAAGTATAATATTGCTCCCCTTGTTTTCAGAATTTTGCTTCTCATCACCAGGGACCAGATTTGGTCAAATTTAAGACTTTTTTTTTTTTATCATGGTGCCTGCTTTGTGGTGGTGAGTGTTTTGTTTTTCGACAGCTTTGCAGCACAGAATTTCTCCCTCCGAGCTTTTCTGACCAGCGCTACCACACCCAGCCCCAAGCACAGAAGGCACTGGAGGACCCACAAGGCTTGGCTCTACTCACCAAGAGGCATTACTACAAAAAACGGGAGCCAGCAGAGAACGAAGCATCCCACAACTATTCCCAGGGTCTTGGCAGCTTTCTTTTCCCTGGAGAACTTGAGCAGGCGCACGGAGAAGTGGTGCTTGCTCTTGGGGTTGGGTGCGGGGCCGCCTGCACCGCGTGCGTTTCTGCGGTGGATGCGGAGCGTCACCTCCTCGGAACGGGATTTCTCCGTCTTCAGCCCACAGGTCAGCCCTTTGTTCTCCCTTTTGGCCACCACGTAGACCCGGCAGTACATCACCAAGATGATGATCAGGGGGAGGTAGAAGGAGCCCAGAGCTGAGAACAAGACGTAGCCGGGCTCCTCGGTGATCTGGCAGATGGTCTCATCCTCCGGGGCTGGCTCCTTCCAGCCGAAAAGGGGCCCGATGGAGATGACCAGGGACAGTGCCCAGACACACAGCAGGGCCAGCAGGCCCCTCCTCTCTGTCACTATGCTGGGGTACCTCAGCGGGTAGCTCACCCCAATGTATCGGTCGATGGAGATGACGCAGAGGCTCATGATGGAAGCGGTGCAGCAAAGCACGTCGACAGCTGCCCAGATGTTGCAGAAGATCCTCCCAAAGACCCAGTAGCCCAAAATCTCCATGGTAGCTGAGAAGGGCAGGACGGTGGAAGTCAGGAGGAGGTCAGCTACAGCCAGGTTGATGATGTAATAGTGGGTGACACTCTGTAGATGTCTGTGGCAGGCTACGGACAGGATCACCAGGATGTTACCCAAAACCCCAAAACCAATCAGCCCCCCTAGAATAACACCCAGTAAGATGGCCTTGGAAATGTTCACAGGTTCCACTGAGTGGGTGCAGTTGGAGCATTCGGAAGAGTTTCCAGGGAGGAGAGCCATGGCTGGTAATGTCCATGTGAGGCTGCTGAACTTCACCCCCTTTCCAGGCAGGAACGGTGACAAGATCAGGAAGGTCCTATAGGCAACATTAGCTTAGCCTTGCTGGGGAAAAGAGTTTTAGAAGAATGTTTTAGGACTGCAGCAGCAGCAGCAATGAGAAAGATCCAGAAACATATCAGAAAACTTACCTTTGCTCCTAAGCTTTCAGCAGAATAACATGGTTGATACCAGTTCCAAGTCAAATTTAACTCCTTCTGCATTTTCCTTGGGGTGCACAAGTAGGGCTACACAAACCTGAGGCTGTTTGTGCTACTTTCCAGGGTCATGGGATAGGAAATACTGGAGCTGCAGGTTAAAATAATTTCTGTCTTTTGGGGAAGGTTCTGTATTTAAGGAAAGTAAATATTCCAAAGGGTCTCCAATTTAGCTTCTCCTGAGAGGAAATCACTGACGCTGAATCGTGTTAGTCCTGATTCTGCCTTAAAATTGGCTTAGAAACCTGACTGGATGGAGGTTTGCTGCTGTGTCTGCTCAGCAATTTTGTTGGAGATACCCACCACTCCCCATCCTCAGCGTTTAGGCTGTGAGTCAGAGCTTTCCATATGTGGAGCGCTCATCAGTCGAGGTCCTGGGCTGCAAATTAAAGCTCATATACATCTCCTCCTCCCGGCTTGCTCTGAGGGGAAGAGTGGAGTTTGCCATGTGCACAGGGCCATGCTCTTGTGCTCTCTGCAGATCCTCACCCCCCTGGAGAAGACAAAAACACGAACAATGCAATTCCCAGAAGCCACACTCGCTGCTAGGGTTCTCATATAAGAATAGAGCAGGAGGCTATTTTAGGGTGCTTTCCTCAGGCTGGCTCCAGCCAGTGGAACCAACCTTTTCCAGCCCAGCACTGTTTAACAGAAACGGAGAGATCCAAGTGGGTTTTCCTGCCTAAATTTTCCCTTCTTTACAGGGCTAGGCATCAATCCTAATTATTAGCTCACCTGCAGAGACCAGTTCTAGGAAAGACAGAAGCCTGCAGGACACAATTCAGGACTATACAAACTGTGCAGCAGATTTAGAAGCCCAAATTTAATCTCAGGTTTCTTTATTAAGCGAGACCTCTCCCCATTAAAGTGTTAGTCCAGCTGAGCTGCTCATTTTGATAATCTATAGGGCAAAGCAACTCCAAACCAAGCAGAAGACGTTGCAAGGAGCAAGCCTCCAAGTGAGTGACACAACATTTCAGAGTATCTGGAAGCCAAGCTCAGCCTTTGCTGACTAAATATGGAGAAAAGGTACCTCAGATGGAAAAGTGAGGATTAGCCTGGGAACCGAGACCTGGGGGGCACGGAGAGGAGAGCTGTAAGTGGAAGCTGCAAAACCTTTTCCAATACCTCCAAATGCATATAGAATTTCCATCCCAAATATTAATCAGAGGTGAAAAATCACCACTAAGGCTGCGCCTGTAAAACCCCAGATGAGGAAGGACCCTGTAAGTGTCCTTTGGGATGAGTCCCTCAGATCACACTTTAAGCAGCAACAACTGTCCCATTTCCAAACCTTCACACTGAACTTTCCTGCAGGCAAAAGCATTTCGAAGTCTGAAGCCCCAAAATTCCCAGTTCACAGGCAGGGAGGAGGGAGGAAGGGGGAGATGGATAGGTATGGATAGGTATCACACAGTGGGAATTTTACTTCAGTACACTAAAATGAAATTGGATCTTATTTTATTTCCCACCAGATAGAACAAGTTGAGGAATAATCCCAAGGAAGAAAAGGACAGATTACCTAAGCACATACATGAGACATGAGTGTTGCATCGAGCATCTCTGAGCATTATACTTGTGGTTATTCCCAAATAATGCCCAGCCTGTGGAGATAGCTGATGCTGGGAAGAGCAGACCCCAGGCTGCTGTGCCAGCCCCACACCCACCTCTTCAGTCTCCAGAAGGCAGCACATCTCCTGTGAGCATCTGGAGAGGAGATTCTCAGCACAGCAGGCTCCTGTTTCATGCAGGGATGGGGCTCCGTGCCTGGAAATCCTCAGCTTTGCTCCCTTCCTGCCCCCCTGGTATCCCAGCAGCTGCAGTGGGGCTGATTCCCTGTATCCCACGGCTGTCAGGGGCTGGCTCCAGGCTCCCTGGAGGGATCCGTGCCCTGCTCAGAGCTCAGCTCCACACGGGCAAGGAGCAGCAGGAACTTCGCTGCTCTGCTCTTAGCACAGCAGTAGCCTTACCATTACCGTAATTCCCAGCCACTCCCGTATTGCCCAGAAAGAAAGAGCACTCACAAGTGTAGTTTTAAATCTTCTTTTCTTTCTTTTTCTTTTTTTTTTTTTTCCCCACTTGAATTCCTGCAGAGACCAGAGAGTGGAAGGCAGATAACAAACTCCTGTTTGTGAGTTAATACAAAATTTTTGGGATCTAAAAACGAAATTTCCTGCAGGAGAAACTGAACAAGGAGATGAAGGCAGGACACACTGCCTGGGGATTCTGCATGGTGGGACAAAGCACAGCTGACTGGAGATGGGGGTTTAAGGAGGAAATTCCTCCAGCAGAATGTGCTGTTGAAGGGAGGTTGGTTTTTCACATGGTTTTTCATTGCAGTTAAAAAAAAGTGTCCAAAGTCCTCAGTGAAGAACAGATACAAAAGTGATGTCCTGAAGTGGACACAGAGTGGGATTTCATAGCCAGCAAACCCTGTAGCCACAAGGAAGCAGATGAACCGTGTCATGTTCTTGCGTGACACTCTCCACCTCTTCCTCCTGGGCACTAACTTTGAGAGGAAATTTTGGGTTTTTGGGTTCAAGAGTTTCACAGACAGAGGCAATTTTGAGTGATGCTCAGATTCCCCCTGGAGAGTACTGAAAGCAGATCTGTGCTTGTCAACAGCTCTGATCACTGGTCCAACAAATTCAGAGTGCCTGCTTGCTTCTGGGATAGCCATGGCTACTGAGGGGAAATTGAAAAAGCAGCTCCCAGGAATGTGCAATTTGTGCAAGTTGGGCAAAGAGTTTGGGACAGTGTAGTCACTCCTGTAGCAGCTGCAGCTACAGCATCATTTGCTGTCTGAGAATAAAAAACCCCATGAGAATAAATGTCAAAGTGAGAGGAAAAAAAAAAAAAAAAAAAAGAATAAAAAGGAAAATAATTCAAACTGATTTTGAAGAACTTGCAAACTGCAAAAATGAGTGCTTTCTAAATGCTGTTTCTCCAGTTTTCTTACCTCATGTGGTGCCTGTTCTGTTGTACATCTACAGAAGGTAGATGGTTTTTGGAGGCTACTTGGAGGTCTTGTCCTTCCCTGAGCAACAAAGGGTGCTGGAAGAGAGCAAAGCCTAAATGGATGAAGGGAATGCTGAGTTACTAAAGATGCTTAAAGGCTGAGATTCAGCAGGTTTATTTTCGATGCCTATCTTCAGATGAGACAACTATGTTTCCATTGATTCATTGGGAAATGAGTCTAAGTGGCTGAGGGGAGGGAAAGGAGCAGAACCCCATTCTGAGTTTTGTTTCTACTGGTACATAGACCTGGCCATACTGGTGGTTATTTCAGGCTCTTAAATGCACCATGGAAATAAATAAATATATATTAAAGGCTTTAGTCATTAATATACTCAAAATATCAGCTCATCTGTCAGTAATACCCTTGTCAGGGGGCATCTCTCCAGAGTGGAGGGGAGCAGAAGGAAGCAACAGCAGATTTTGTCCTAAAAACCCTCAGGGAAAAATGAATTTATGGTACTGAAGAGCTCGTACGCCTGGAGACCACCAAGAGGTCAGAAGGGTCATTAAACACAGTGCAGAGTGTCCCCAGGTAGGGTGGACGGGGTAGGATTAGTGTCACATCAACCCTGGTGAAGCAATCTTTGTGCTTGGCTCTGGCAAGACGTGCTGGACTTGTCTGTGCCCGGAGTAAAAGTTTTGGATTAATCAAAGTTTTGGAGAAAGCAGTGAGAGGGGTGCAAGCCTAGAAAACAAAAGGAGGAGCTATTTAATCTCAAAGTTTGCACCTCTAAAGACAGATGAAAGCCTGTCCATGGGGTTCTGAGTGTCCACCACTGGAATTTTGTAAGAACATATTAGGCAAGGATCCATGGCAGGGTTTAACTCAGCTTTCATCCTCCACTGAGAAAGGATGAACTGTCCCCTGGTTGGTGCTCACAGTGTACCTGAGTGGTTTGGGTTGGAAGGGACATTTAAAATCATCTAATTCCAGCCCAAAGTTTTATGCCACCCAAAATGATTTTCCAGACAGGGGCAGGTCTCTAAGTTGTGGAAGGAAGGAACAAAGTCCTGGATGAGCTTTTTGTTCCATCTTTGATCTTTGGCAGGTCCATTTCTGGGTGTATCTTTATCTGTGACATGGAGGAAATAATGTTTTTGTCCTCTTTCTCTTATTCATTTGGACTTCAAGCCTTCTGAGTAAGGTTTGTAGCTGACTCTGCCCAGTTAGCATCCACAAACCAGATCCCGTGCTTTCGGTGTTGTTAATTATACTCATTAGCATAAGAGTGTCCCTAGAGAGAGCTCCTAGCAATCCACAGCTGCTCAGCTGTTTCTGAGCTAAAAAATGTTAAAATCAGAACCTTAAATCCTGATTTTTGGGCAGCAATTGTGTTTTCATTACAAACATCTCATCAAAAGGGCCGAATCCCATTGTTTGTGTGTCTGAAGGCGTTTGATGGAGTGTCATTGGTAATCTGCTCACCTCGGTGCCACACCACACAGGCAGCTGGACCAGGAGTAGAGGAACTTCTCTGAGGTGCTCCAGGCCTTGAAATTACTATTTACTTGCCCAGAAAGAAGTGAAAAGGGTTGTTTTGATGAATCATCCCTCAGATTTTAGCGAGGGTTCAACTTCTGCTTGGATAAGAAAGAAGACCTAACCCAAAGGCAAGAGATGTTAAATGTTGTCTATTAAAATTGAAGCTGGACTCATTCCACTGTCTTTTTAGGACTGGGACAGCCTGAAGCTTTTAGCATGACTGAGTTGAAGATAAACTGGAAAAT